ACACACGCGATGCCCGGGGAAACGTAATTCAGCTCTGCAAATACCAACCCCTCCGAAAAAAAAAAAGAAAAAAGTCGCGCGAGAGATAAAAATTTAATTCTCGATTAATCAACGTGCCTCTGATTATATCGATAATTGAATCAATATCGGCATTCAGGGATATTCGATCGCCCATGAAATTGTTACGAATTTTCCCGTGACCCCTTGACCCTTCGGCGTTAAAATTACGTCTGATGTGCAAAAGCACCCCTTATATTCGGAACGTCCTATTGGCGCTGTTACACTTACTGATTCTCGTCCCCTGAAGAAAAAGGTCGAGCGACCTCGGTAAATTATTCGAAAGTAACCCCGAAGTCATAATGTCACCTGACCCCTCCAACCGTGACGTAATTAAATTATAACCATTCCCCATAGGACCTACGAACTTTATATCCTAGAATCAACTGTGCCACGTGACACGCGATGCTGCTACCTACCCCTTTTGTTATATTTAATAAAGTACCGATACGATGGTCCCGGGTATGTGGCATTAAACGTTTTGCCTTAAAGGTTATGGGTGATTTTAAGGTTATTTCGAAAATTACGATGTAACGTGCGTTTACCCAGTGAGTTCCCTGCGAATTGTAACGAAACTCGCGGTTACAAACTCTTTAAGATTAAGTCAATAGATAGCGTTGTCGGCGATAGATTTCCCTCTCCAGTAAGTAAGAGTCCCTGGTAGGAATAGCAATTATCGTGCTCTTCCCTTTCGTCAATTGACCGTCGTGTAAGCAAGGCGTGTGCTAAGTGCGATCAAAGGTATTATACATTCCGTTGTATATTTTATATATATATATTCCATTATTAATTTTATTTAATGCACATTCCTACTAGGCGACAGGGTTTCTAAATGAGGACCTAAATTCTTTATAAAACGATAAAACTGGATAACAGATGAAAAGTTCAAGAAGTGCTTGGAGGAGGTCGATCACTTAACAACAAAATCTACCATGTAAAACCACCTGTATATTATAAAACTGTTGAGTCGTTACGAACCGAACTAGGACTCAAATAAGGAGACTAAACCGGTGGACACCGTCATCATTATCCAGACAGATAAGAAATATTAATTATAATCGGTTCCTATAAGATTGACTTTAGTGTATAATTTATTAGTTCTATTTCAATGTTTTTTTTTTATGAGTACGTTTAATTTCGTAATTTTATAAATTGAATGGGTTATAAATGAACGTGGAATTAATATCATGGTTAAAATTTTAAGATAATTGTATAGCGATTATTAGTGTCCATAAGTAAACCATTCATGTTAAGAAATTATAGAAAATAATACAACGATAATTTTGAATTTTATAAAGATTTTTATTACACGCGTTTACTTGTTGAAATGCTCAACAGTTTCGAAGGGGGGAGGGGTTAATTAAGACAGAAACATCGATTAGAACAAATTAATTGCCAACCAATTAAACGTTGTTCCATGAAGAAAAACTACCCCTGTAATAACTTTCGTAATCGGCTTCAAGTTATTATTATTGGCTGTCTCTTTTTGAAATTATCCAAACTTTAATGTACTTATCCTCGATCGCTATATGTAACTAACAGCTAAGAAGCTTTATATTCTGAGTGACTTCATTATTCTTTTTCTTACGGCAGATAAAAAACAGACAATGACATTGGGGAAAAGAAAAAAAGGTTACCAAGGAGAAATGTGACGTTTTTGAAATTCCCGCGAGAAAAAAAAAAAGTTAAACAAGAGATGGATCGTCTTTAACGAAACTCCCTAGATTTATGCAAATATCGAAATGTCTCTCGGTGATAAGAGATATGCAAAACGTGGAATACGGTAGGAAGAGTCAACTCGCGGAGAACACAAAAATATGAATTTTTATTTGAAAAATTCTCTCTCACTATTTTCCACCTCGTCGTTCGTACTTCTTTTTACATACATTTATCTCCTTCTCTCTTATATTCTCTCCTTACGAAATCCTACCGTAACGTCAAGCCCGGAGGCACCAATCGCGCCGTATCGATCCGAGTGAAATTTTTGAACATCGCCGACGATTTGGAAAAAATCAAAAACATCGAGAATTTTGTAATTTGCGATAGCAGCCTAACGTATCGCTAAAGCGGACTTGTGAAAATACATAAAACATACTGGAAACGTTATAAATTCTAAATAAAAGAAAAAAAAAAAAGTAAACAAGAAAAAAATCAAAAATTGTAAAAAATGTTCCTAAAATTTACTTAAAGCTCGTCAATTTTGGAATATTAATACAACGACATAATAGATCGACATGAAAAAGAATGATGACACGACACCTGTCAAATCAGACTGATAAAATTTCGTCTGCGTAACCATTGCGCGCATATATCATTACGTTATACTGCTTGAGAGGTCAGATATAAAATTTTATAAATCACCCAGGATAATGTTCCCGATAAATCTGAATAATTGCCGTAGTATCGGAGCCGTAAGTCACATGTAAAAGGTAGGACCAAGGAGTTACCTTCCACCTACCCTCATCTTATATGCAGCCTTGCTCAAGATGCACCAGGCGATCTTAGCTGTCAACGATATAGTTTATTAACCCTTACGATAGAAATACTATGGGAAACGTAACGCCCGTAGTGGACGATATTTTCACACGATAAAAATACGAGAGTTCACCGTCCCTACCAGTTTTCCAAAGAAAAATTTACGGTCCAGCCGGCATCCGAGCCAGTCACTGTAAAATTAAAATGAACAAGAAGCAAGGAAACACCTTTGAGCTCCGTTCAAGGGAACACAATAACAATGAAAAGCCATGCGAAATAACGACTGTACCTGATTGCTTTGATCCTGGATGATAAAGAGTCCATAGCCGAGATAGGTGAAAAGCAAAAATTACACACCTGTATAGTAACTAGAAAATAAGGGATGAAAACAAATTTCTGGAGCACCACCCTTAAGTCAGAAAAATATTTTACAGCGAAGCAGAGTTGGCACGCGGCGATAAAGCAAATTCGTTACGAATAAGGGATGGGTGTGTAGGGGGTGGAAATAATTTTTAGGGGTTGTAAAAAATATCTCTTATCCGCAGAAAATCACTTTACCGGGAGTAATAAGGTTGAGAAAATTTTTACGAAATTTTTCAAAAAATAATAGGGGATGAAAGCGTCCGAGTCCGCTTAGTAATTTCCTGATCCGGTCCCGAAGGAGAGTAACGCTTCGAATACGGGTAACGTTGGGGGAGGGGGTCGCACGAAAGCAGGCGTCGCGACGCTTCCGAGAAATCGTCTCCGCGGGACGCTTTAATTAAGGGAAAACGGTAAGAGCCGCCGCGATAACGTCTCTTGGGGTAGTACCGTGTCGTCATACGTGGTAAGGGTAGAGCGTCGCGTGATAAAGTGATAAAGCGATGAAGCCACGAAATTAAGAGGAAAATATTCACGAGGAATTCCGGGAATTTCCTTTGGGAGAATAAGGAGAAAGGAGGGACGGAAAAAGAAGGGTATGGGACGAGTCCTGAGAGACGAGGGAGGGTTGAAATCGCCGAGGATAGAACAAAGGGATGGGAGAGGAAAGAAATTCTTCCGATAAAAAAAGAAAAAGAAGGACAGGAAGTGCGGTTACTGAAGAAACAAAATGGGGCTCGCGAATTTTCCCGAAGAAGAAGAAGAAGGAAGGGTGAAAATTACGAGAGATAACCGTGTATATATATATATGTATATATATATATATATGTATATATATATATATATATGTATATATATGTATACATTAAGGTAAGGGATGAAACGGGATGGTACGTATCTATTCATACCGACAAGCCCACCCTCGCCGCAGAATGAAGTTTCTCTGAATTTCAAATCACGATTCAGAAACGGATTTCAGTCGATAATATTCGGGACAGACTCAAAATCTCTGTGCCGCAGAATATGAGATATTTAATAATTGCCATTCCACTATTTTATCAATTTTTTTTTTTTTTTTTTTTTTTTTTTTTTTTTTTTTTTTTTTTTTTTTTTTTTTTTTTTTTTTTTTTCATATTTTCAAACACGCTTAGAGCATAACTCGTTTTGATCTCTTTGTAAGAAAAATCGAATCAGTTTGATACTTTATGATATTTTTCATAGATACCGTACAGACTTATATATAGATATAGCGTCATCTCGAATTCATACATCAGCAGTGGCTGCGTAGTGGCTGCTATTATTTATACCCGGTGTATCCATACAAAGGAATGATATCGCTCGGGACACACAGAGACTCTTAAGGGAAGTAAGTCGAGCGAATAAATCGCCATTTGTATTCCAAGGAACGTAGGGGCGTTACAGTTATACGTGAATACAAAAGAAAGAAAGAAAAAAAAAAGAAAAAAAGCAAAAGAAACAAGAAACTGACCAAAGGTTCCAAAAATAAGGGTGGACTCGCTAGCCCACCTCGTAAAATCCCTTAAGACGACGTTACTTCCCGCGGTCGTGTATACAGAAAACGTTTCGCTTTCGAGAAAAGCAGTTTTAATGAAATCCAAAATTTGACAAGGACTCAAACATCATGACCCTAATAATGAAAAATCATCAATATTCCCAACCCCTATTTCTTAATCCTCTCTAGCCCTAATTCCGTATTCCTATACAATCATCCAAATGTCCCAAGGGTTGGCCGTACCGTAAATTTCAAATTATCCATCGTGAAAGTGACAGAAACCAATTTTGATTTTCAGCGTAATAACCGCCTAAAGCTAAAGTATGAATTTGGCAGGGTCGTCGGATCTACTTTTCCGGTACGTCGCCTTTCGTCGCGACCCTTCGAAAGTACCCAATGTCCAAAGCATTTTGAAAAATTGTCCGTACCCGAGAAAAGTACGGACGGTGCTTCGGATAATTGACCGGGACCTTCCGCATTGTCAAGTCCAGCAAGGGAACCTGGTCAAGGACCGGGCGTCGCGACGTCACGGACAGACATTACGTGGACGAGCAAACCGCATAAAGAAATCATCTTCAAACGAGAATCCACTCACCGTTCTCTTCTGAAGATGCTGCACCCTGCAGTGCATGTGTACCTGAGCACCGAGCTGGACCGTGATGTTGCTGTCGTCGTCCTCAAAAAAGGGTCTAGGTTCAGGAGTGGCACCAATTTCGGTGGCAAGACTCTCCTCCTCGTAGACCTGAAACGAGAGGATGATCAGGTGCGGTGATAAGGTAGAATGGACCAACCCCAAAAATAAGGGATACGTGTTACGTGAACTTCATACGGGACCTTAGAGCCAGTGAGAACATTTTTTTTTTTTTTTGGGGTTGCTCTTGATAAGACCTGCTGAAGGGGATACGCGTTTTTCCACGTGGGTATATTTACGACCCTGTCACTGGGACGGAATATAAATCTTGCTTAGGGAAAAAATGTTTTTATTCTATATTTCTCTACACTTCATCCCTCGCGTCAACTCCGTGAACTCGACGGTTTACTTACCTCGGTGAAAGGTGAGCTGAGCTCGTGCCAGAACGACTTGGGCAGGTCCTCCAGTCCGGGAAATGGCTTGACGACTGAAAATATCAAAGGGATGGTTTTTCAATCTCTTTGACGGGACTATTCATGCTCGAGTAACGAAGGGAACGGCGAGAGAATTTTAATCGTGTACGGATAATGATTATTGCACTGCCTGTCGCGTTTTACACGGCAAGGAATACTTGGTTGAAGCAAAATTAATTTCTTGCCTCTTACCATCTTCCATTACGTTTTGATAACTCGAATCTGGAGGGGGATGCTAGTGAAAGGGAGGGTGGAAAAATGGAAACGGAAGGAAAAGAAAATAATAAAAACTTAAAAATTACTTCACATCAGTTCCCCTGATATTTAGGTTCATTTCGGGACGAGTCAAAGAAATTTCGTAATGGCGACTGACAGAGTGATAAAGAAAAAAAAGAGAGAGAGAGGTAGAGATAGAAAGACAGAGTCTGATTAAGAACGTTATCTTATATACCTTAGCTACGCGAATTCGTGCAAAGAAGCCTGAAGGCCCAATTACGCTAAGAGACGTTGCGAAAGAGTTTCTGAAGATGTAAGGAATGCTGAAAGGGGAACGAAGACGTTAATGAATTCATCACCCTTAAAACCGGACACGGCTGGTTACGTCTACTGCGAATTACATGATTACACGAAATTACAGAAATGAGGGACGTGCAATAATTTGTTCCTGGCCGAAATATGTTAGATGTTGAAAGAAAAAATTAATTATCCAAAACGGCGGAAAGTTTAAAAAAAAACAAAAAAAAGAAACAGAATCGATTGAGCCGTCGAATCTCACGTTCGTGCGTGTATCTGTCGCGCAGCATCCCTTTCGGTCCATACGCAGTCTCCGACAAGCAAGTGACGGCTATTATTTTCCCGCGAGCCAACAATTTTTTTGCAAAACCAATTTTTTACCCGTCGCACAATTCGCGAGAGACGAAAACATCCCGACGGATTCGCAACGTTACGAACGTTTGGCGGTCAGACAAAAATTACCCATCATCCTCGAAGCTGTCGCAATGTCCGTCGAACACAAAAATAAAAAAGAGGGTCGAATTGACAATCCCCGCAATTTCCCACACTCCCGCGAAATCCAACGCCAGTTTTACCTAGTTTACCCCAATTTTTCCAACCCTCGTACGAAATATCGACACCCCCACGCCCTTCGGAAACAACCACGGCGAAATACCACGCCAGCTCATCAGGTCCGGTCGAAATAGTGCCAAAAATAATTCCCTAGTCGCAGACTGGTATCTTTATATAATACGAATTTATTTTACGCGCAATGAAAGTAAAAGCTCAAAATCGTCAAAGTTTTTCCAAAAGTCGAAGAAAAGTTGCTCGAGACGAACTTTCGAAAATTTACCCCTTTCACGTTAGGGGTCGTCATCCCTCAGCTACAACCCCTGCGCAACATACCTAACTTGACTGTATTAATCTCCGTGTAACGTTAATAAAATTATGCTTCTAAATAAAATTATATATACAATACATGTATACATATATCATAAATATTATAATATAGTATTAAAAAAAAAAGAATACAATATTATATTATATCCGAAGCGTGCAAGCTGTTCACGTAATAGAAAACGCGTCAAGTTCAAGCAGAAGACTGATTATCCAAGATACAGCAAGTTCACTATCAGAAATCCAAGTTGCCGCTATCTGTACCATCTGCATACATGAATATAGTACAATAGGGTAGTTCTGGTGTGAAGGATGGTTAGTGAGTGTTTGGCAATAAAGCCCTTTGTGGGGCATAAAAAGTTGCTCGACAGGGCGCAGGTGACGAAATTCCACTTCGGGCCTAGTGACCCTCATAAATTTGGAAAAGGGGCGGAGGGGGGTCGCTGCGCGGACGCACCCTACTCTCGCAGCCACCCTTAACCGATTAACGGGGTAATTATTGTCCCCGGAGCGAAAGCTAATTGGCGCTCTTATCGTTAGCCAGATGAGCCAAACTAAATCAGAGCGTCTAACAATTTGCGAACATGGGTGGATTTTTACGAAACACCCTTGATCGTATACGATGCTTTAAGAAAAAAAAAAAAAAAAAAAAAAAAAAAAAAAAAAAAAAAAAAAAAAAAAATTTCACAAACTTCAAAAACACGCTCGTGTCGATTTTGCCATTTTGGACCGTCGTGACAATACTTGTGCCGTTTCTTACCTTCTCGAAAATCTATGCTAATCTGACCTAACCTAAAACAACCCCCTAGGCTTTTCAGTGCTTAGTTGTAATACTACGGAGATACATATCTTGCCAATTCACAATTCTGATACCTCCAGTAGCGTCTATTAACGTAGGGCAGGATCTATGGACTTTCCAGCACATCCGTGACACGTGGGCTTGGTAGAAGCATGGTACATACGTGACCAAACATTGGAAACCAAATTTCGTCCTACGATCACGAACAAAAGTGGGTGGTGGATTTTAAAAAATTTGTCAAAAAAAGTTTTTCACAAGAAAAATATTTTATACGAGGTCGTCCGGTTGTAACACATTTTTAGGTTAATGGATACGGTTATGTGGCAGGCATGTGGGTTTGGGCGTATAAGCTCGGTGCAGTGGCGACCTGGTCGAAAAAACCACGAACCGTTACAGGTACGAGAACCGTTAAGGGACGAGCAAGTACCCAGAAAAATGATGAGATCATCTATGAGGATGTTGGAATTTTTCAAGAAGCTCCCTCAGGCTGGTAATCCCATTATTTTCTAGCAAGAACTAAGGTCACGCTGAAACGATGATGACCAAAATTATACTTACTGGGTATGTTCGTGGCTGTTAGAAATTGAGCGAGCTGAAGCAAAATGGCGGCCACCACGGCCGATAAACTTCTCATCGTCATAGCCGCTTCTCAACTCATTTCTATTTTCAAGAGTTTACCACCGTCGCTCGTGCGTCAATCTGAAACCAAAAAGGGAAAACATCAAGTTTCGGTTACGTAATAGCTCAAGAATATTTTGCTTCGATCTCCATGGTCCCCTGCCATCCATGGAGTTTAATTTTCGAAAATTGTGAGCTGAAGAAAAATGGAAGAAATTAAAATTATACAATTTCCCATCATCCACGTAGAAACGCGCGAATAAAGTGCCGAAAACTTGACACGCGTAAATCCACAATTACGAATCAAATACGCAGAGCCCTAACCCTGAATTTAGTAGAATCCAAATGCAAACGCAGATGGCTGACGATCAGTCCGTGACAGGAGAACCAGTGGACGCCATTTTCCAATTAACGAAATATTACATATCCCATATACTCTGATCCCATCTCATCCAAAAGCCCAAGTCCTGTTTAAGCTCCCGAATGATCAATTAAGCTTCGATGCCATACAAACAACCCCTAAAGCCATACACTGTTTCAAGTTTAACATCAAAGCAATATACCGAACGAAATATTTCTTTGATGAGAAATTAAAAAAAAAAAAGTCCAAGGTAAAAAATTGAATTTTCGTAAATTATTTTTCTTTTAATTACCCCCCTCGCTTATCCAGGTACGGGATTTTCTTTTTTCCTCCATCGACAAATTTTTCTCAATCCAGACCAAATCTTGACGTATCGGGAATATTGGGTAAAATCAAATGGCAACTCGAGTGTGGCTGCAGCTGCAGGAAATTCAACCGTCTTCGGGTGACATTTATTTGCAACCCTCGCGCGAAATCGCGATGCATTCGACGTGCTCGCGAAAATTCGCTTGACGGGCCGGGGGGGGGGGGGGAAAAGGGGGG